CATCTGAAGCAGCGTCTCATGAGCTACTGACATGCGTGATGCGAATCACAAGCAGCAGATGCTGGGGTTTCGAAATATTTATGAATTTTTGCTGCTCGACGTACCATATCAACCAATCTGAGAAGCTGATCTGAGGCTGTCAGGGAGACAGACACAGCACTGCTGATGCAGAGCTCTATGATCGCTCTCCTGAAACAGCTTATTAATGCCCAAATTAACTTAAAATGTCAAAACCTTATTCTGGTGCTTGCAGTTTGTAACACATAGCTGACAAATACTAGTAGGGGAAAACTCCAAGAGGCGATAGGGACTGATGCAGCTGCAAATTAAGATTCCCATTTGTCGCTTGAAAAAACAAAACAAAACAAAACAAAAAAAATCAAACTACGTTTAACCCACTTATAACAGCAAATATAGCAAAACCACTCTTTGCCATTGAACACAGGAGCAGCAGGAGCATCGGACGTGTCTGTACACACTTTACTGGATGCACTTCAGCAGCTTGAAAGAAGCTCTAGAGATGCGTCTGACCTTTACGTGTACAAACATAAAAAAATGAAGCAGCAGGAGCTTTTTATCTGCTTCAATCGCGTACGGTCTGAACGTAGCATTAGATGTTGCAAACACACTAACTGCATGCAATAGAAATTTAGCAGATAAACTACCGGTATTCTTCTTTATTACCTTTAAAATGTATCAAATTACGGAGTTTTAAAAAGCAAACTAGGACTTTAACAAAATTTGCGAAGCATCGATTAGATGAGACTAAAACTGAACTCAGCAACAAAAAATGAAATTTGGTTTGGTGTGAAACAAATCGTGCTCAGCAGGATAATGATCATCTTAAAAAGAAACATTATAAAATGCTAAATTAATGATATATTTCTAAATATACCAACAAATGTGGCTGGAACTGCAGAGGTTTAATGCAACTCTTTTAATCTGCTGCCGGCTTTATTTTTTCAAACTGCTTATGACTGCAGACTGACTTTTGCTTCTTACAGCCCACATCACCTTCAAGTATTAGCAGCTCATCTATACTGCTGGAGAATTATCTTTATATAGTCATCATTACCCTACTTAATGGCTGAAGGTACATAAACGCCTGAATGTTTACAAAGGTATAAATGAATTGGGATTTAAATTCCCTATCAGCAGTAAAGACTAAATATAACATATTAACATTTTTTTTAAACTCTGACTATACTCCAATGTGTTTTTGTCTGTGTGAATTAAAGGTTTTAACAGTTAACTAAAATATTCATAAGGTAAAAAGCAAAAGAAAATGTAAAGCATTTTTTCTTTACCATTTTCTGATTTTATCTCAGGTTTCTGCAAATCCTTCTTCAACACTGCAACTCGGTGTTTGAAGTACAGATACTCCAAGCTGCTTTTATTAAATAAGAATCTGTCAGGCATAAAAAAAAAAACATTAATTTGATAATTATTCACACAGTTTATAACAAAAGAAACTTCCAGAGGGCTTAAAACCTACGTGAACATAGGGTTATCTTTATAGTCCTCCATTGCCCTCTTCTCCAGCTCAGGTCCTCCTTCTGCCACGAAAGAGGCCATCTTGTCGACAATGAGTCTGGTATCTGAATCCTCTGGGGGAGAGACTTTAAGGAGGCAATGAGTACATTTCCTCAAATGGCACATTTGACAAAAATGCCTAACAGAAGACAAATGTTCCACTGATATATGTTAAGGAACCAAAGAATTGTCCAATGGTCACATGTAGACTCAAAACATGCATGCCTTGAATTACCTTTCATCTCTAAGAACTTGGAGTAATCAGTCTCCTCTTCCTCCTCTTCATCATCAGGTGAGGAAAACACACTGGGCCTTTGGCTGAGAACAGGGTTCTTCTTGGGTTGGGAGTAGCTCTTGAACTGACTAAGCATTTTGCTAACTTTAATCCCAGGCCGCTGACCAACCAAAACACTCTTTTTCTGCAAACTGTTTCCTGATGCAGATGAAGTTGAACTTAAAGAAGGTTTAGCATCACTGGTGGAATCTAGAAAGCGTAAAAAAAGGGTGGTATTTATCAAATACTATACTTATTCTATATCAAAATAAGTAAACAAAACAGTTTAGGACCTACTATTCTGATAAAACAATTCCATCATATTCCAATGCCTTCCAATAAGTCCCAGTGACTCTAAACGAAAGTGAAACTGGTCATCAAAACATTAAAAAATACTGACCTGACACATTATTAGCTTTCTCCTTCTGCATCTTCATGAACTGCTGTAAAAAGCTTCCATCATTTGCAAATTTATTTGAGGAAGGTCCCTGTGGAATGGGCAAACTGGTGGGACAAGTAAAAAAAGAAATCTTAAAAATTAATTAATAAAACACAATTAATATTTGTAACACAACGAGGTGCGGATTATNTTACATTTTCATCAGAAAACATGCTGATTAATACATGTAAAAAGATTTCATGTCCATCCCAGTTTAGGAGAGGTCTGATTACCTTGGAGGGAGGGACTTGCTTGCTATCTGAGCATTCAGCTTTGCTTGCTCTGCCATTCTTTCTTCAATCTCCTTTTTCTTCTGAGCTATGAGTTTCTCTTGGCGAAGAATATTAAGGTTCATCTTGTTTTTTTGCTGCTGAGCTGGTCTTGAATTCCAGCCTCCTCGTCCTATGAAATTACATAAATACACACATATACTGGAGCTGATGACACTTCCTGATCAAGAGTAAGTCCGTAAATTGCTATAATTTACTTATTCATTTATTAATGATAATAGGATTGAGGAGACTAACATGGAGCAAAATAAGGATAAGGCACAACCGATATGACACATTCTAACCCAACATTTTTAAAAATATAATAATGCACAATTATCAATTTATTTGATCTAATTCTGTGTCTAATTAGGTGCAATTTTTATTGCTCAAGACTTTTTCATAGGCAAACCCTTATTGCACATTATCCTGGTGAAAAAACAAACGGTTTTTCTTCCAAAATATTGGGCGTGATTAAAATGTTGTTCTTCAGATATGCTTTAATTTGATCTGACTTATAAAGAGATGAATTTTTCAACAAAAGTCAGAAAAATGTAAGCCTCCAGAAAATCATTACTGATTACTGATACACTAAAAAAGACTTAATAGTCGTAACATGAACAAATGTTGCTCTGTAAAGCACTGACTAGATGATGAAAACTAAATGCTAATCGCACTTTTCGAGTGTTTATAAATTAAAAACCCGGATCTACCAATACTTCTTCTAATGCATACATTTAAAAAACGTTAATCTTCCTTTGAATTATATCATAGTAACCAGCAATCTACCTGCTTATATCAATGTATTTAACTAGGACTATAAAATTAACCTGTTCTCTACGGATATATATTTAGAGCTGGTAAATATATAAAGCATAATATCTACTGATAAGTTGCGTAGAAACCAACGGTAAACTATAGCAAGGATTATTTCCTTACCCATATACATTACGATGGAACTATAGTTCCTTTGTTTAAAACGGTTGATACACTTAAGTACTGTAATTCATTAGCTTGTTAATTTAAGCTAACCAGTTAGCTAATGATTTCAGCAAAGCAAATGTTTAGTTACGAGATAACCTACGTCATGGCGAAACTAACCTATTTGTTTGGGCAGCAAGAGCTAGTATAAATATATTTTTTACTGAAATAAATATTACCTCCATCGCCAGACTCCATGGTCCAGTCAAGAAGATAAATATACAAAGAAAATAAGCGACACACAGAAAAGGAGGCCTCCAGCTAGAGCTGCAGTAGCTCGGTGACTAACGCAACGTCAATAACAACCAAACTTCCGGTTTAAGCTTTTCAGATTAAAAGCAAAGCCCAGAACGAATATACTACTTATATGAGACTAGATAATTTTGGTTATTATCATAACTAATGTATAATGTATAAATAATAAGGCTAAACTAATGGTAGGTCCAAAAACATACCATTAGTTGTGTCCATAATGGATATAAAATTATTCTTTACAGTAGGGAGGATTTTGTTTTTGAAAAAAAAAAAAAAAAGTATATATGAAAGGAGAATTGAAAAGTGTAAAATGTGTGTGTGTGTTTTACTAGACTAGATGATTTTGGTTATTATCATATAAAAAACAAGGCTAAGCGAATGGTAGGTTCATATATATATATATATATATATATATATATATATATATATATATATATATATATATATATATATGAGGGATGCACGATATTGGGATTTTGGCCGATATCCGATATGCCGATATTTTAAAACTCATGTAGCCGACAACCGATATCGATACTGATGTTAAAGCTGGACAAAAATAAGTAGTCATTGAAAATAGCAGTTTTGTTATCCATTTCTGACACTTTGAAAAATTATTTACTCAA